TATAAAGTTGCACCTGTCATCCAATAGTCTATCTATGCGTGTGCTCTTAGCAAGACCTTGTCCCCTCGGCAGTAGTCCAAATCTCATGTATCCGGTGAACTACAAGCCGCCAGAAAAAACAGTACACACCACTGCCTCACTATAAACACCAAACGCAACCAATTTCAAGCTTCAGTCCTCAGGACTGGATGACTCATTACTCAGCCTGAGCAAAATGCTATCGTCGAGGAACACATTCCGATTTTGAAATTGATTCTCGACAGAGGTGTTTCATTGTGGCCAATAGGAACCAGACCACACGTGCAATGAATTATATCTTAAAAATCCTAATTTTCGTCGAGGTGATCTAAACAGGTCTTGTGAGGATACGACAGGATTTCCCATTTCCTCTGAAGTAAATGTCCCACACGTCAATACTCTAGCATATCCATGATTGACATGCAAGCGCAACCAACATACTGATCGTCAGCCCGCGTCATTACGGTCATTAATAACCAGTATTTTTTCTACCAGGAAAAATTCGGAGAGCTCTCAGAGAGGATGTTTATCAAGAGTATCACAACGAAGACAGTGACAATGATTAGAAGCACTAGAATTGATGAGTTATCATGCGTTGTTTCCCCTTATTCTGTAGCCTTATTACGATTCACTGAGGTTGTATTTGTGAAATTTTTTTTTCGAAATGCTGTGTGCATATCCAGGGCCAAATTACTGGGAGAGCTGAGCCAAGTCAACACAGAGACCATGTCAAGAGAAGTAGTATAACACCTGGGTCTATGACACAAACTGCTTAAACTTGAACCAATAACAAATTATTTCTATAGTAGCACATAGTAGTACGGAGTATTAAAAAATGGGATATAGCTCATCTTAGGCTCCGAGGGAAGGGTTCACCTCAGTGAAGAGAGCCTGGACCTTACAGTGGTGTGGCGATTTACATGCTTCCGCTATCCCCTGAGCTATACTAGGTAGTGTCCATGCGACACTCAGAGTCTCTCATACCAGTTGGTCAAGGAGCCTGGACCTTACAGTGGTGTGGCGATTTACATGCTTCCGCTATCCCCTGAGCTATACTAGGTAGTGTCCATGCGACACTCAGAGTCTCTCATACCAGGTTGGTCAAGATTAGAGGTCTGACGAACACAGTCTCCTGGGAGTTGGAATATGTGTGGCGACATGCTCCGTAAAAATGGTAATGCACCTGCATTTCCGCCAAACATCACTGCCTAAGGCTTCGGTCGAGGATCCTATTTGTCTTTCTGTCTAGGTCTGGGCGCCCTGGCATTATACCAAACGACGAACAACTATGACACTTACAACAAACAATACCAGCCGGGTTACCAGGAGGGTCGCCCAACTTGCTGCATACAGCGGAGCGGGTAAGCGGGAACATGCTACCGCTGACGTCTCCCTTCTTAAGCTTTCACGTTTTCTCTCTTTTACCCTACTCCACCCAAATTTGAATACTCATTCCGCAAGTCCTAGCGCCAGGACTGTAAAGAAAAGAGTAAATGGGGACGAGGAAGGGACTTAGTGATAGCATACCACAGTCATTCCGAGGTGCCCATACTTCCAGACGCTCACTCAGGCAATCTGCACGTCCGACTGAAGTAATAGCGCCAAATGCTTCGAAGTCCGTCTTCAAACATTGAAGGCCTGTCCGCTTAGCCACCTTTAATTTCCGACCACTGAGGCAAGCAGTACAACAGGTGGCTCTTGCTCGTACGCTGGATTCCCTCTGCATTGGTGTGCGCTGTCAGAAACAAGGATACAGGATGCACGTACTGTGATCGAACTGACAGCCCCCTCGCTCTATTCCAAGCTCCGGCTGCGCACCGTTAGTGATGCAGAGGCCACTGGAGCTTGATATGCCGACGTGGGTATTGTATTGAGCGACCGATTGAAAACCTCTCTACTTGATTAGATACAAGGTGATAATCGCCTCTGTGCGGTCCATTTGGTAACGTATGTGAGATAATCTATAGCAAATGAGGTCCATCGAACCCCGTTTATTATCCGTTGACACTCCAACTGACTAGCTCTGAATCTGCCAAAGATAGTTTATATGATACCCTAGGTGCTCTTTTACGATGGACTAAAAGCTCAGATATGGTTACGGTTGCTGGTGTCATGAAGGCCCAGGTAGGTGGACTAAGCGCTGCTAGGTCCGACTGGCTGGTCGTCTTGGGTTGGACACTAGACGTACGGACAACGGAGATCGCCTGCTTCAGATGTGTGCCGATCACGGACTGCTCCTTGACAGTACGGATTTCCAGAGCAACGGAAATCACTTGACAACACTGCCCCTACCAACAAACCAGCCTCGAATCCAACAAGAACACATCGCCGTCAGTTATCAGTGGTCAGGGTCGATCACTGCCCACCAGTCCTTCTCAAACACCAGCGTGGACTCTGCTCAAGCTGCTCCTTCTCATTGAGCTCTTCAGGCCTATGCAAAACGGGCCTACCTCGCCTAGCCATTGGGAAGCTAGTGGACCCAGAGATCACACAAGCCTATCAAAACCGGGTGCACCGATGCCTGCTGGACGGCCCGATGCTTCACAACTCAGCCAACCTCATCCAAACATTGGATCTTTGATAAGACAGTGTCTTTGTTGGAGGCCTGGCGACAGACTCCTCCTAGCCGCAGCAACAACTCTACTTGACGCATCATCCGACGGCGGGTGAAACTGGGTGGCCGTGCAGACAAAGAACTTTGGTAGACATGAAAGGCCTAAGAAATGGGAGGTGCAAAAACTGCCGGAAAAACCCGTAGGCTGTTCCATTTGATTCGCTCGACTGGTCCTCAGAAACCTCTTGTCAGCGAATTATCAGGGACCAAAATGGCTCCCCGATATGCAGCAAAGCAGTAAGTTTGGACCGCTGAGTATAGTACTTCGAACTGCAATTCAGTTGACCACCTGCTATCTTCATTCCGGAATCCTACTCCTCGACAAAAAGGCGGAGTGTGAATGTGGAGCCGCCTTCAACCAAAGAAATGTTCGAGCGTATATCTCTACTCAAGCGTAAACGTGGTCCTGATGACCTTTCACCTACTCAAGGATGACGGTGTTTCTCAGGCAGTGCCTGTCTAGCTTATTTGGGTCTATCTGGGAGAAAGAGACCTTCCCAGGCAACTAGGGTGAATAGATAATAAAACCCACTTTCAAAAAGGGTACTCACAGTGAATGTAGTAACCGCAGAAGTGCTAGTTTGACTCCCGTTGTGACAAGGCTTCTGAAGTCACTGATTCCTCGCCGTCTCACGGTGGAACACAAAACCTTGCCTCGTGAGAAGTAAGCGGGATTTCTACCGGATGGGGGCTGCGATAACCAGATATTCACACTCCGTCAGGCGTTAGAGCCAACGATACGTGTACAAAGGACCTACAATCTTGACATTCCTTGACTTTGCGTTCGATTCTGTCGATGGGTGAGTGCTGTTAACCACACTTGCTAAACAGGGTATCCCGCAGAAGTTTGTGAACATAATCCGATCCCTGTATACACAGCTCTGGGAGTGTGAGAATGTATGGTGAACACTCCAAAAGTATCCCTATAGAAAGTGGTGCCAGACAAGGATGTCCACTTTCCTTCATCTTTCAACTTCGTCATTAATAAAATAATAAGGCGAACGCAGGAAGGTTTTCAATGCCCCGGTATTCATATTGTTGCTCGTGAGAGCCTTGTCAACATTGAGTACGCAGACGACATCGTCCTAATCTTTGAAGATCAAGGCGAAGGACAAGTCCTGTTGAATAAAATATCCACCGTCATACCATCTTTCGGCATGCATCTTGCACTTTCAAAGTGAAAAGTTATGCTTCAGAACGTACAGTCTCTGAACATATTCCTTGCAATTCAAGGAAAATCCTTGGGGGTTATGGAGAACTTTAAATATCTCGACAGTTATACTAACTCTCGCGGAAGCGTGTCTGATGAAGTAAGTGCACGAATCTCAAAGACCCGATTCGCGTTTTTTGATTTGCGTCACCTGTGGCGTCGAAGAGACATATCACTGGGTCTTGAGGGTCGCGTGTACCAGGCTACAGTAAGACTGTGTTGTTGTACGGCTTCAAAGCGTGACCTCTGCGGACAGCTGATGTGAGGTATCTCCAAGTTTTTGACCACCGATGCCTCAGAAGCGCTGTTGGTTATCGATGGCGTAAACGGATTAATAAGGAGGTGATTACAAAACGGTCATTTAGTTGTACAGAAGGTACTTCAATAGCGGAAAACATCCAGCACCATCAACAGCGGTGGGTCATGTGCTACACATACCAAAACACCGCCTATCGGGACGAGTGTTGTTCTCCGTGTCTCCTTCAGAATAGCGCAAACTGTGAGGTGGACAACGCACTAATGTGCAGAATGATGTGAAAGGGATTACGAAGAGTTTGGATGTTGGTGTTGTACACCTTCCAGGATGAGATTCCCGTGACCCCACCTGTGCCTGGCTGGAAACGTTGCAAGAAATGGCGGCTAACCGATGTCAGTTTCTTCCCAGATTGTCTGATCGAGCGCTCGGAGGTGTAGGCACTTCAGAAGGCTTGACACAGGCCAGCACTAGGTTCTCTTGCTCACCTGCTCTTTCTATCTTCTTTTCACTCTAAGGCTTTACTTATAATTAAATGAACTTTATGGTTGCATGGCAGTGGAGCATCTTTCAATAGTGATGTTGCTGTCTCTTATGATGACGATGATGGTAATTGCCAGCGGTTCCAATAGCCTCCTCGACGACGGTACTTCCTCTTGGGAAGTCACCATGGTAGGTATGACAACAAGGGCCATTCTAAACATTCGCGCGTGTCTGAGCAAGTAAAACTTCACGACATTCGAACCATCATGTGTCTCAAAGCGAAAAAATCCCACCGGTGCGTTCATTACTTGATCATGAGATATCACGTTCATGCAAGACCGTGACGGGAACGGTCTAGACAGTCATGTGGGCAGTGTCTTTCGCACAACCAACGACCTTCACAAAGTCACGTATTTCTCCGCTTAGATTCGCCCTCATTAGTGAGTCACGTAGAAATGTACTGTCAGTCCAGAGAAAACAAGCTGTCGGTATTCGGGTGTCACGTGACGGACCATATGAGGGTTCCCAATAACTGGAAAATCCAGGTATTTGACTTGCCATTCAGGAAAAAAACAGTACAGCGAGCAAACCCAAAGAGGGTGAGTAGATCTTATTCCACCACGTGTATGCAAAGAAACATCGTTATCACACTGAAGTACGCGGCACCTGAGAAATATGACATCCTCCACAGTCTGCAAATTCATTGATGTCTGTTACTTCCACTAGACATCTTTTGATGTATCTAACGGGTACTAGTGAAATGAATTTGAGGAATTTGTGGTATCACAAGATGTATCACAACTTGTGGAAAACAGGAGTTGAGCTACGGCGAGGATATAAGGTCTAGGTAGGACACTCAGTGACAAACATCTTTTGAGGGCAATTTTAATCATTTTGGTTACCGATCGCTACTTAGTAGAATATATGTGATTTCCCCGTGAAAAACAGTCGTTTCCGGTTCGCCAACAGCCATTCTGAGTTTGAAAACCGGGGTATAAAGATACTTTTGTCGCGGTTGACAGCGATATACACTTTACTGTCGTTAGAATGACATGATACAATGGTGAGTTGGTAGGGATACATTTCTGTGAAACACGGATAGATATTTACTCAACCATGGACGTGTAGGGGCTAGAAAGCAGGCAGATCGCCAACTTACGTCACGGAAACGACGGTGTACATCTCAGTCATCACTTTGTTGGAATTCACTTGGCCTAACGAAAGCCTTACGTCAACTGCCTGACTTTTCGATACACGTTGCCATTCATGGCGACAAACGAGTAAAGAGGCAAAGGTTTCATGAAGGTATTCGACATGATCACCCCATTATCTTCTATTCGCCTCCATCACTTTCTTAGATTTTTGAAATTCGGGCATCACATTTCAATAGTTGTTTCCTTGAAAGGGAAAATATGTTAGTTCAGCTTTGTTCGATGGTCAAGTGGTCTCATTCAGCAGTAATTTTGCTGACAGCTGGACAGTTAACCCGGAATCTAAACATTTCATTCGTTGGAGCTCAAGATTATGTATTACAAAGTATACACTTATACGGACATGATACCGATACTCTGCCTTGTCCGTTTAAATTGACCTGAAAAACCGTGAGAGCTCGTATTTTTGTGAATATATCAAGCCAGTCCTAATCGTTTGTTTTTAATTTCACAAGTTATTCTGCTGAGTGTGGAGAACATTATAAATTTTTATGCAAACTGGATGTCTCTAACCACATCTCAGCCATGCAAGCACTGAAACTGGGTCTAAGATGATTCGAATATTAACAAAAGGAATGCCTTTCTCACGAGCTGTATATGGCCAGCAAGCAAGCAACATACCACACAGTATGTTTCTGGAACACGTTTTCTTCTAGAGGGGTGGCAGGTCTTTGAGGGTTTGGAATTCGGACAAAGGAAAACCAACGTTCCCCGCTGTTCTGGAAGGCTAACGGTTATCTGTTCACTGTCACACGACTGCAGTTTCCTTAGGTTGATTGGATTGGAGAACACTGGCGACGGGTTTGGCACAGAAGTCTGTCCATCAGAAAGATGAGCTAGAAAATGGATGATGAATAGGAGGAACTAAGTTTAAGAAGCCGGAAGGAATATACGGAATGAAAACAGGTTGTTACACTGAAAGCCGAAGCTCTATAGAGTTGGACAACGAACTCAAAATCCATGATGATGGTTAATTATCCACAAAAATGATCTCGATGCAGTTAGCAAGCGCATTAGTAATCCTGTGAAACAGCCAACAGTTGCAGGACTGAAAAAACGGATAATGAAGAAGCCGTTCAACCGGCATCACAGCGCAACCACGCCCTGCTTCAGCGGGGACCAGAGAGTGTTGGTTCGCAGCTACAGCGGCAGACACCCTAATTTGACTCTAGGACGCATCCTTCGGTGATGCGGCAAAGTGCTCTATGAGATTCAAGTTGGCCGAGTCAGGTAGATCCGACTGATGAACGTGCAGGTCCTGCTAACCGGACCGACTAAACTGAATCTAGAGATGCTTCCGGACACTTTTGATCTTGGCACCATTGCGGGAGATACATCAGCCGCTCCGTCGGAGGCCCAGCCCGAGCATGCATAACCACCGTGATGCTGGACAGATAGGATCCACAGGCCAATGAGGCCACCGCAACTCAACCCCCAACTTCGGAGCCGTCAAAAAACTTCAAGGCGGAATCCCGCACCAAAACCGCTTTACCACTCGAAGCTAGGTGCTACTACGGCCCAGAAGCCTATCCCGCGACTGGACAGAAGATCGGGCTGGTTGCCAGTTCAGCATCAAGGCGGGCTCCGACTGGCCGAAAGCGTGAACCCAAGAGTCGATCATGATACGGTATCCGCCGAATGTCGGCCGCCAATGGCGCAACCAGAAGGTGCCGGAACTTTCAAAATGTTGTCCCGTCCAACGCTTTATACATGACGCACCGTGCATGTGTTTTTGACCTGGCTTTGGGCATTTAATACATGTTGTGCGCCTTTGGTAGTTCTTTTGACGAGAACGCTAACTTGGAAGGTTCAAAATGAGCACTGAGCTTATGCATTACCGTTATTACACAGATTAAACCCTGTTTAGGCAGGAAAAGAAGCGTTCAGGGGTCTTTTGTAACCTAGCAGGTCATTGGACAGCACCATACTCACATTTATGTGATTTGGTTGCATTTGTTATATGCTGATCCATCGTTTCCGGTAGGCTGGATTGATGAAATCTACAAAAAGGTTGATTGCCTATTGAAGATTTCAATGCACACGAGAATAAAGGGTTGAGGAACTTGCTGTACAACACTAAGAAGAAAGACGATACAGGTCCTTGTAGTATGCCCTCATGCCTGGGATATTTGTATTCGTAAGCCAACTGATATACATGCTTATGTAAGCCACTTGATGTACCAATGATCATGTGCTAATTTTAACTCAGGGACTAAAAAACTCACCGTGAGTCAAAGCAGATGACAGGCAATCTGTCCGAACAATCGACTGGCTATTAATTGTGGAGCATTCGTGAGTGAAGGGGGATGAGGAAGACACATTTCTGGTCGTGTTGGGGAGTAAAGTGGCGCAGTCCATACAGCAGCGTAATTCCAAATGAAGACGAAGATGCTGCTCAACTGTAGCCCGACCATTTATATCCGTCCCTGGATAAGCAAAATACAACAAATAAGTGCATTAGTACGCCGAGTGGCAATTTAACTTGGTGTTTATGGGCGACCTAACTGTATACCGGTTGAATTTCTTCCTTATAAATACAATCAACTGAATGTCTCATGTTTCAGTTGACATGATATTCGAGTAATCGCAGTATACTTCGTTGACGGAACATACTACTCACAGAGCTGCTGAAGACTCTTCGACAATCGACGATCGATTTCACCCTTCTTGGGGATGATCAGATAGACGTAGTCCCCAATTCTACTCAAACACTAAACTGCACTAAGTGCGCACAATCGTTCAAAATGAAATTGGTGTTGTTTTTCACGTTTTTAGGCGATTGGTCCGGGTGTGAAACTGAAATTTATTTTTCGATTCGTGTTGCGGGTCCTGAAAAACTGCTCCACCATTTAACATCAAATACTTGCGAACAATCCTCAAATCAAATAAGGATCAGATACACACGAAGTGGGACATAGAAAATTGGCAATGATCTTTATCGATACTTCACGATTGCAGCGGAGCATGTTCGCCACACATTTACTCTACACACCACTTACCCAACTATGTCTTACGATCAAACCGCGTCCTATAGTTGCACATAGTGGAAATAATTTCAAATCAAATCTATGTTTAACTTCTGACATTCAGAGAGGAGTCGCATCACAGGACACTGACGGCTGCCACGGATTGATAGAGTATGGGAGGTTGAGAGTCAAATTTTATTCGTAGCTATTCCGCAGACAGCAATTGCCGTGGAAACGTACGATAGGCTAAATCGCGGACAGAATACACACGGTAGATTTACTTAATCAGAGCACAGAGTGGATGGTTTAGATAACAAATATCCCGGGCGGTACAATCAACAATAAAAACATTCGGTTAGATTCGGTAGTTCTCCGATGCATAGCTGCCGCGCAACGGGGAGAAAGTACGAGAGCTATGATAATAGCAGACTATTTGAGCCTTGATAGGAGTTATCGGAAAGCCAGGATTAGGTTTCAATGACCGACCTTCCGCTCAGAAGGTCGGTCTCATGCCTTAACCGCTGAGCTATTTCAACTTCCCGTCTGTTTCCAAGTTAATGTCTGAACTGTGACACGGAAAGACTGGTTGCCGCTTTCTTGAACCTTTCACTAAGGAAGAATACAAATGGCCACGTATGATCCAGTGGTAAGAAAATCTATTTACTCCAGTGGTTCTCACCGTTTCATAACATGCATCCCTTTCAGCACGTCCCTGGAGGTGGTCTCCACTCCCGCACCCACAGATTTTGCCCAACAAAACAAATTATTCCAAAAAAATGTGAACGATACTGAAAAGTAGTAGATACAGAAACTAGATCCGATCAGAGAACAATGGTTGTCATCAGTGATTTCGACATTGTCTTATTGAACGAGTACATTCATAAAAAGATTACGGGATTGACGGGCTCACAAGTGATATTGATAATTACTGTGGTAGTGTTCGATTACCAGTGTCCTATAAATGTAACTTGAGAGGAGTAGACCTGCGTAAGAACATGGTCTTGTTGATTTCGGAAGCGACGCCAGTAAATGGTGTATTGATGTTACTTTTCTGACCAGTTCCAGAATAGCAGAGAAGTACTTGAAGCAGCGCAAAATATATCATTTCAAGCCTCCAACTGATTTCGTGATCTCGCTCTCATTCACAAGAGGTCTGAAAAAATAACCTATATTTTGCTACACCAGCAAAATATAGATGGTGCACAGATAACTGATCACCTTTGTTACTTTATAGTAAGGAAAGGTAATTCTAGGTTTCTCGATCTAAAATCTGTCTTTCCAAAGGAGCCAGGTGATGCATTAATTAAGTTAACAAAAACATTTTGATGACCATAAGACACGTGGGACCATGGCAATTGGAGTGCGACTTTCTAGTTAACCAATATGCAAGTGCTCACCTAAGAAGAAAGAACTTCCGCAAAAGGGACACTTCCAAGCACTGGTTGACTCAGATGGCGTGAGATGAAACGTCACGCTGGTGCCAACGTAATGCGCTTCTGTATGCTCATCTACTGTGAGAATCAAAGTGGCTTGCTTCAACCGACAGGCCATGGGCGGAAGACTGGAAAAAAGTACGGGCGAGAGCGAATAAATGCAACTTGCGGATAGACATCCAGTGGAAGAAAAGTTCGGACAGACTGACCCATGTATTCAGTACGTGGGGTCCTAGGAACATAACATCGGTGGGCAAACGTCCAGTCTGATTCAAGTACTCATGTAACACAAGATTACTTTATGAATAGTTCAAAACCGTAAGCACCTTTTATAGCCTTTGTTCGAGGAGGATTTTTTAAAAATTGGAACACCACTACGGCATTTTGGTTGCTGAAAACAAGCTTGTGGTTAAAATAACAGCGAAAACTGCCAATCCTATATTACCAGCATAGAATCCCTTAGCAATGTGATTCGGGGTTCTGGATGAGACGGTCTAGTTTTACCATAGTCGACTTTAATGCAACTGATTCTTCAAAGAGGGTAAGCCGGCTCTGTCAGTATGGCACACCAGAGCTGCCTACGTCTGACGGTCCACGGACCAACGCAGTCTTCTTTCATCAGCGTCAGATACTCGGAGTGGAAGCCGAGTTGATGTTTGATTGACGGCAGCTGCAACTGCATGCCATGACCACAACACCAACTCCGACAAGGGCCTGGGATCACAAGTTCGTCATCTTGTTTAATGCAGTCGATGTCACTGGTGAGGAAAGCAAGTTTCGATATACCGTGACAACGTTGTCAGACTGATATTTTCAGGCCCTCCGTCTTAAACCTGTTATAAATCACTTCGGCACACTTTTACTGAGTGTGTAGAGGCCTCAGTGTTGAGCGCTGATATGAAGCTGTTGATGACAGTGGTGATATGGTGTTTTTGCGCCAACTGACCAAAGCAATGTTGCACACGCACTGGTGAGATATAATGGGATGGTGTGACGGTCAATTCCTTGTTCCTTCAACCAACTTCGCTTAATTTGTCTAGTGCAGCCGTGCTCACTAGATCACGCGACTTCTTTGTTCCGCAAACGCACAAATCACGTGACCGCAACCTTGGTCGACATGTGCACTACAATTTCCCATCCATTTTTGTTTACGCGGCTACCAAATGCGTCAGGCGCCAGGCTTGCGAACTTCAACCACATCAGGTCAAAATCGCATTCATGTTCGCGCAATTATCAAACAAGAATGGACACCCCACTCTTCACACCACACACAATAAATAGACATACAACTCGGCCCCAAACACAAACTCTAGCGCGCACAGCGGACAGGAAGTAAAAAAAACTTTCCAAGTCCAAGGGCAATTACGAATCATGCAGCTATACTGCAGAGAATACGCATTCCGCGTCCGGACTTTCACCCAGGAACTCTTGCGAGTTACCCACAGACGATAAGCCACTTTTCGACTTATTCCATTGTTCGCAATGTATTTATTTTACCATGGTGCAACTAATGACTGTAAACCACTATCACAGTAAAAACTGTTACTAGTTCATATACTTTCTGGGCTATATTATGATTATTATAAACCGTGCACTAACAATGTCTTATCCATGCAAGCGAGTGCTCAACAGGTAACCATTCGCACAGATGATGAAATTAAGCTCGTCAGTGCACTGCGATCCTTAGGTTCCGAAATTCTATCTAATGGGTAAACAAAAGAACAGATTGCTCTTCATTTCGACACCTTTACCTAACTTACAAAGACCTCATGGAGAAGGGAAGTTAGCCTGCGCAAAGAAAACCATGTATTCAAAGCAGCATTCCGCCCGGTCTAAAATTACGGTAGTGAAACCTGGTTGCATAGCATAAAAGGCACCCACAAACTCGAGTTTTTTTACCATTGGTGTCTAAGGCAGATTCTGAATATTCGACAGTTCGATAAAACATCCAACTCAGTGGTTAAGGAACGCTGCTTTAGCATCCTACCACCTAGACGACGGTTCGGTCATGTTGCCCGAAAACCGCAAAGCAAGTTTTGCGAACTTACACTGGCTTCTTCGCAATTTCCGGAGTGGTGCTGCCATTTTGGAAGATAGCTAAGAACATGGATCGGCAAATTCTAATTAAGTTTTTCTTTTGGGGGGTTCGGTCTTAACCTAGAATACAGTATTCATTGCTGGAATTGGAACTGGATGTCAATCTGTGCGGGCCTAACCTGTGACTGTAGCTTAGAGGTAGCAACCGAACAAGGCGTCTGTGAAATCGACCCATCCTGTCATAGATGACAGTTACCGTAAAGTAAACTAGGTGGAATCGGATATAGTGTGTTGACAAATCATTACTTTCCATTGATCGGAAATGGAGTTATGGTCTAGTAATCTATAATCTAGTATTGTAATCAATTGCTGCTTGCCGAACGGATCGCTTATCATTACGGACTGCTGGTTTGTAGTCCGTTTTGAGAGTAAAGATAAACGCAATGTGTGCTCGTTAGTTTACTTTACATGGCAGTAAGAAATGGTGGCTGCCTGAGCCACTGTTTCTCGACCGACTCTGAGGGACCGTCTTCAAAATCGACCTGGGCAATTGTGAGGTTTATCGTGGTTGCGTTCACCTATTGCATGTTTTTCGGTGTCTAGACGGTCAGGCATTTGAAGAGAAAAGCTTTTGACACGTTTTCAGGTACATTTCGAACTTGGCATAAATCAATGTGGTTTGGCTCTCTGTTATAACTAGTTTCTGGTCCAAGATAAGACCGGAAGTCCTGAGTAGGAGACCCCATTGCAATAGGGGAAGAATGTAGTCAACCTGATAGATCATTTGGTCATGATTCGAACACCAGGGAAATTGTGTCGAATGTTAAAAACACCCGTTGGACACATACGGTTGAGAGCCACAAATTTGGCCACGAATGCGACGTCATCTTTTACCGACCACCATGACCCAAGCAACAAACGCTATGAGGATTCGAGTGGTCCGGTGGACCGATAGGAACATTCGACTCGCCAACTACCACCCATGTCGTGTCTAGGATCACGGTTGCCGCCAGGTTGTAGTTCGAAAACTTATCTTTGATGCTAGAGTGTGCTGGAAGCTTAGGTGCGTATGGGATTGCTGACATATCATAGGAGCATCCTTTGAAACGGTCAGCAGCAGCTGGCGATTACACGGGAGCTCATGAGATGAGGGCACGTTATAATCTGGGTTCAGGACAGATGCGACTCCATTTTAGCCGGACTTATCCTCAGGTCCACCATAGTGAAACCCGAAACTTGGATAATACATTTAGTTCCGTGGCTACGTGAGCGAACCTTGAAGAGACATGGCGATGGTTGTGCAAAGCTAGTATGGCGATAGATTGATCAGCAATCTCGAATGGGGTTCTGACATTCCAGACGGCCGACAAATAGTTGTTTTCAGATAGTTTAAAGCCCACATTGAGAGCTAAATATCAAAGTTGAATAGACTGCTGAATACCAGAGATGCTGTGGTATTAGGATGGTAGCGGATATTAGAAATTCACGGGAATTAGACGAATGCTGTCTCTAGTACCTCTTGGGACCATTTCGGGTCTTCGACCATTAAAATTAAAGTGTGGCTTGCAAGAGAGAAAGGAACTTGCAGAGAGCGGTTAAGCAGCACCGTCATTACCCACTCGATCCAGTGGGGATAATTTATGTCCTCGCCGTTGTTGGTTTGGGATCCGGGCTGAAAGAGCTCACCAATACGGAAAACTAAGGGACCATCGACCATGTTATGGCACCTAACAGCGGCTTTCGGGGTTTCTCTCGAGTGGAAACATCTCCACCACAGAAAACTCAAAATAGAAACTCCTCAGTGTGTACTGCACAAGTATCCTTGGGAGTATCTCATGCGATGCAAAAGACTGTATGATTCACTTTCTCTTTGACCACAAAGAGACATCCGAAGTCCAACCAAACGCGTCTACTGGACCTTCTTAGACAAGGATCAATAGATCCGTTTTCAGCTTACCGTGGGGAACTACTTCCGATAGTGTACACTGGCAACTACTTCTTGACTTCAGAAATACCCGTGAGCAAAAGTCACAACAGAATTCCATAGCTTTCATTAAAGTCGATCCGTCGAACTAGAACGACCATAACAAATCTGGTCCTACTGTGACTAATGCGATCTGATGCGACTGCAACGGAACTATTGAATGCAGCGTATCTTTTAAAGCAGTGAATTAACCTCTCAACAGTAGAATAAAAATGTGGAAGCGAAGTGGCAACATCTCGACAAATCCGAGCAATATATGGGAAAATGTGCAAACGCATTATGATACATCAAGAATGATTGCTATAATTTAGTGAATCACATGCAGCGAGGGAAGGGAATGCCCAAAAACTTCTCACAACTCTCCTAATCCTGTTGATTTGTACAAATTTTCATCCTTAATTTAATTGGTCATGAATAAACCTTGTATGCATATACCGGAATTTATTGTAAATATTCTGCATACTACGGAAGTATGGTGATGTTGGAAAACCAGCAAGAGTATTGCGAGGTCGAATTGGCCTAATATGATGTGCACACCTAGTGACAGTTAGATGGTGTCAGTTTGCAAACGACCTGCTATATGCTTCCACACCAGGATGGCGCGAAGAACCCATGCAGATCTATAGATCGCGTCGCCATCCAAATTGGAATGACTCAGCCAAGTAGTACGATAGAGCAAACGGCGCCTGGTCAATCGATTGCTGGTATGCAAGCTCCAATAGTTCTTTCACACGATCATATGAGAACACAACGGCGTCCAGCGACAACCTAAGAAAACGGCTTTGGAACCACCGGTATAACCCACTGACGTGATTGGCCACAGCCTGCTACCTGTGGTTGATTTGGACCACGGTCAGTTTTTTCTACAAACAGGCGCTGCGGCCACCTGACTAAATAAATTTATAGGGGCTCCTGTTCGGAAGGAGAAAAAACACGAAATCTTATGTAGTTGCGTACACTGATTTTATAGATACATCCGTTCAAACGCCGACTCAAGCCAAAGATGACAATGTTGTCGTTAAGTTGTCAGCATCGACCTTTTGTGAGCGACTTAATCAAGCTATCCACGATCTGCCCAGCCACCCACCCATTCACCATTGATTACTGCACTTAGTCTGTAAGAATACGAACAAAGAAGGTAGTGGTGGAAGCCAGTGAAACCATACTTATCATGAAGCTCATATACTAACGTCGCCACAACAACGGCTTTGAGGATGGAAACAGAAGGCGGTTGGTCCTGAGTTCATTTCGGTCCTGGAAGGTGCTATATTTTGAACAACAAGAGAAGACACGTACATGAAGCAACCTGACCTACATTGTGTCCTTCGTGTGTGCATCTAAATCAGTCCCACGAGGCTTGATCTTCATTGGAGATTCACAAGAGGGATCGCCCGAAAGTTTCACCAAACACCAGTGGTTCCGGTTGGAAACGACCAAAGTGAATAGAGGACATCGGGATTTACTCACGCGCTGACCGATTAGATGTTGAATACGCAATGGAAGATAAGCGAACTGAACTGTTGGTAACGAACCATACTCCAGCGTGTAAGTCCAATCACTGAGCACGGCATCCGATCCCGATTTTAAGCGTGTATTGCCAGGTGTCCCAGGCACTGCCACAGGGGCGTTTGTCGAATAAGGATAATCCTCAAGAGGGAGTGGGGTGGAATGCATGACCAGCTGGACAGACGCTATAAAAAGAAAAAATAGCATGATGAAGGAGAAGGACAATGGCGGGGGTAGTGCGCGGATCGACGTCAAGAAAAAAAACAAGCAGACGTGACTGAGAATGAATCACACTTATTCGTCAGAATATTAACGACGGAGTAGTGCACCACAATACTTAGAGATCAACGTGCGAGACCAGAGTGATTGTGTAAACCGTTGTTTGAATTCGTAGGGTGGAATTTAACAAAGACAATTCTTTTACATCTCTGGAGAGACAACTTCCAGGAGCATACTGCAACGGTGTTCAGAGACCCTCGAGACGATCTCTCTAAAAAGGGGCAATCTTGGTTTTAAATCCAACCTAACAGGGTACTCTTGCAGTTTCAAAGCCTAGCATATAAATCACACGAATCCGAACTTTACCAGAGCGCAACTACAAGCGGTCCAGTATCAACCGATTGGTAAGTTGGCTCATGCGAAAGATGAATCTGATTATCAATTAGTGCACAGGTGTAGTGGTGTCAAGAAAGGTGCTGTCCAAGAAACGGGTTACGGAGAGACATCACTAGAATGGTGACCGTCTGAAAAAAATTAGTAAGCTAACTACTGGGCTCGCCCACATAGGGAGGTAATTGACAGCGACACCTAATTTGCCGCTCAGTGGCAAGTGACCACGATTCACTGCTTGATTAGCACAACTAAAGCAAAATAAAGGGATAATCGCTTCAAGATAAACCTAGAATACTGGAAAGTACAGTTAGAATATAATGAAAGCCTACGATTAAAACCTACTGCTTTGGATTCAAATGCATTTCGGTGAGAAATCAATCAAGTGTGTACGGCAATTACAAGCCCCGGAGACTGTTGTATTTGGAAATCAAGATAACGCAAAAATAACAGGATTACGAGAAATGGCAGCAGTGCGAGAATGAAAGAAGGAAACAAGCCGTAGCGGCAAGGACGTTATCGAACATGCCACGTGACGGTTTGTGCACCACGGTGACCTACTGAGCTATATTGGAGTTTGTTCGCATGATATTCATAGAGTCTGTGATACCAGTTAGGTATCATAGGTAGTCTCCCACCAACCACCGCCGCTCTGCGGTAAGATTCTTGAACTAAGGGTCTAGACTGGGTCTCTAATCATCCTTCTCTTTGAGTTTGGGTGCCCCGGCAGTATCCCAGCCCATATACAACCATGATTACTAACTTGTTCTGGTTGAAGTGTGATGAAATGACTGTTTTAGTAAGGTGCGCGTGGTTTCATAACAATTGGACTGGGTCTGTTTACCACTAATAAAACGCAAAGAAAAAGGGTGAAAAGTGAGCTTAGAAGTAGTGGTATCCTCCTGCTTTTCTAAAAGTGAATAAACTTATCCACGACCCAATAGGAAGACATTCAGCAACAACAGCCAATTGATGTTAAGAGAGGTCAAACCTCCATCAACCACGAACACTCGTAATACAGGCAGCCGACAAGTTGTATGAGCAATAAACAGTGCATTGCAAGCCCTTCCCACTGGCCGAAGATCAAATTCGGCTCGTAAGCCTAAGCATGTCTCGACATCTAGACACACCCCAAAATATATCTGTTGGGAAAACAGTGCAACGAAGTGACTTCACTTATTTGGTAAAAGACTGTTATGATGAACACACCTATTCAGCTGACCATCATACTGAAAGCTAAAATTGCCCCGTTTCTGTGATATATACTCGTCGAACAGATCAGGTCACTAATGTGCATTCATTACCGACTGCATTCGCAACCAACAGTAAAACAGCTGTGGAGCTTGTTTGCTCAGTTCCACTCCTCAAATCAGTATGTACAAACCATCTCTGCTTTTGACCTTCTGATTTCGCTGAGATCCTTGTAGATGGCCTCTCCGTTCACCGCGATCAAAAGATGTGATAGTTTTGGGTACAGAAGAATATTTCCATTTGGGAAGTGAACAGATCATATGGAATGGCCTTGACTGGAAAGCAACGGCATGGGAGTGAACAAGAAAGATTGTCGGAATAGAAAGACAAACTAATCTCCATGCCTCATGATTCAAATCACAATAAGCAACATCTGGGGTTGAGATACGTGACACAGCAATATTTGCATTTATAACAGACTGCTATCCTCGCTCCCGTGCCTAGTACCGAAGAAAGACTCGCGCACAGAGAACACGGCAGCTTTAATGCAAACGAGCGAGTGCAAAAGTACAACGGGCTCGAATGCAAGCTGACAGTTGCGTGATCAACCTCACCGACATCCCTTGGTCAAAAGCTAGTTGGGTTCGGGCACACGATGCATAATTGACAGGAAGGCGCAGTAGTATCGAGTCAACTCCCCCAAAAGACTCGATTTCAGCAATAGTCGGTGGTGAAGCATTTTCGTAATCATGTCAATATTGGACGGGTCGAGTCGCGACCGTTTTTGTTGATAAAAAATCAAGGTGCTTCACATAACTCAAGAGAAACTCACATTTTCCTTTCTTTGACCAGAACCCTAGTTATTTATCCGCTGAAAGACAGCTTCCAACCCGGACAGGTCTTCTTTAGTGGCATTCACAACGATAATGTCGTCAAGGCATGCGGCAACTCCGGTCAGATCACACAGTGCGTCCATAATCTGCTAAAAAATTGCTGGCGCAGTTTTCACTCCGAATGGCAGTTGAGTCAAGTGGGATAGGCCACGGTACGTATAAATCGTCAAAAGATATCTGGATTACTCTGTGAATTCAACTTGCGAGTAGGGCTCTGAAAGATCCAACTTCGCAAAATACTTGCCACCGTTCATTTTGGAAAAATATCGTCAGGTAAAGATAATGGATAGTGATGATTGTCCAAGGCGTCAATCAGAATGTCGAATACGGTTTTTTGAGAGCCAAGACTGGCACAGTTCGTGATGAGTAACTCATCGGTTTCAGGACTGCGGCATCTTCAGGACACTGAGTTCGGCGTCGGCGATTGGTAAAATCGCATATGGCAATGGCTTGGGGTCTGAAAATTGGCTGAATGTCCGAGCGCAAATAAAGCACCTCCGCTTTCGGAGGAGCATCCAAGACCTTCGCTGAAAACGTCACCATATTTCTGTTGTAGACGTAGAATCATGGAATCGACTGGGTTACTGGCCACAGACACTCAAAATCTGTGTTGACATGCATCAGTGGCGATCAACAATGGTGAAAGATGCAAACGATTGATCCAGTCTATACTTAGGACACTAAGCTCACAGGCGGCAAGACAATACCACAATCACGATAGTCTACTATTTCTATCTCACAATCAAACTCGCCAAGTAATTGAAGCTTACCCCCTGATGCATTTCTGGCACTTCTGGTGCGCCGGGAAACAATTGAAATATCGGAAGCCGTGTCAAGTTGCAATCAAATTGTGCTTCCGTTTGCTCTGATTGTAAAATACTTGCGACGAGCATCGACCTAGCTATCGTATGTGGCAAGTATTGCGTTGAAGCGGGGTTCTGACTGACTCCGTTCGTTTCGTGTCCTCCGTGTTTGGCTGCGTCTTCGACTAGCTATCCGCGTCCGCATTTTTGTACCCACGTCGATTGCACACCGAACATTTGTACTTTTAGTGGGGACACAATCGCACAAAATCCCATCCGCCACATCGCCAGCATGCTGATAGGGGTTTTGTTCCGTTCGAATTTGCCGCCAGGGAAGGTTGCCTCAAATTTGTCTGGGCAATATTGAAAGCCGGGTTGGATAATGGTCTCTTCAACTCGGCCGTGTCGTGTTTGAGATTCAAGAGGCGACGGCACTCGTGAGTAATGAATTGCAGCATTACCTCGGGACACCGTTCAGTTTTTTCCAATAGCTTGGCTTTGGTATCACTCTCTGAAGAACACAGGAAAATAAGACACTTGAACTGGCCCTCCGTCTTGGTAGATAACTTGAATTGTCCACGTTCAAGACTGACTCTACCGGCATAAGATTCCTTTTCCGCTAGCTTCATACACTGACAGCGAATACCAAAAAAAGAGGAACTCTCACTGAAGATTGCTGAGAGCCGCTGCATGGTTTTGTCAAAGCTGAGATCTCGCGTGTTCTTTAACAGGATGAATTTCGATTACCTTGCGTGTTCCGTTGTGCTAAGCTTTCTGAGCAATAATCGCACTCTCCAGGCATCATCTTTGTACCTCAGTTCGACTGTGAAAATATCTTCGTAACGTCTGAACCACAAATCGAAGGGTCTAGCTCCATGATGCTGTTGGCGATCGAGTCGACTGAATTTGCATCTGGAGCGGAAATTGGTGGTTGATTTTTAAGTTGCCGCGTCAAAGTTTCCACCAGGAGCAATTGCACCGTTCCAAACTGATTTCGTTGTTGCAACGAAATTTCCTTTAATGCTTCAGCAGTTATTGTCGTGGTTCTGCGGGTTCGGGCGTCGCCAATCTGTAATATCTGACCGCTGTCCCCGCTCCGACAACTAGTGCCGGAAAGACTCACGGACAAGGAGTACAACAGCTTTATGGCAAATGAACGAGTGGTCGAGCTATATTTTGAAGGACATTCATTGTCTGACCTTGATCCAAGGCTGTGTGATCGGCCTTTGAGGGTCTCAGTGTTCTGGGATAATTTACAGGAATCTGACCCTCCTGACAACAGTCTGTACACGATTTGTCGGCAAGAAACTAAGGGGAGCAGGGCAGACCCTAGGCGAAGTATGTACTCATACATTAGAATGTTTCACCGAGACTTGGCTTTTCAACGCTAGGAGCCACGCAAACTAATTCCAGCGGAAAGATAGAGGAAAAGGTACCAAAAATGAAACCAACTTATACTAAAGGAAAGAGGAGCACTGTACGGTTGTTTCATTCATATTGGGAGTCTTCGGCAATGTACATCCAACATTATTCGAAGCCCCAACTTCCCGAGTGGGACACCGAGTACCGTACTATGCAACCGCGTACGGCTGACGAGCAACGTACGATCCTGTTAAGGGATTTGATATTGGTTGGTTCCCCGTACAGTGATTTCTTACAGAAAGGTTGATGTGTAGAACTCAGCTCAATGTGCTGTTAACCCTTTCAGAAAACAGTCACATTGTTTCATTTACATAGCAACGGATCACGCGGAGATCCTGATACTCGAGCATTTTCTGGGTAGATTATAATGCTTACCGACTGTTTGGTACACGCTGACTTTGCGTCACAGGAAAAAAATTCGGGAAGGGGGTACCTAAGTCATTCCACTGCTATTTAAAATAAGTGCATTTGCGCAGGGCAGACAGACCAATGAGAACAAGCAAGTTTGAGTCAAAGTAAATGCATTTTCCAGCTACACACCGTCAAGCAGTAGAAAATAAAAGAATAAAATAAAATCTTGTTCGTTAAGAAGAGAGAAACGATCAATCACCAATAAACCGCATATCCGCCCTGAGGGTCAACCATGAGTTTCAGGCTTTCTAAACGAACAAACATGTGATAATTGTTCAGTTCATGAATCAACTTTCTACGAACACCGGGATGTGGGTTGGATTGTGGGCATCTGGATACAAGGCGCTCCAAGCGACCGGATTGGATCAAATCTGAGATGGACGGCGTAGGACGGGACTGATCATTTGTGGACAAGAGAGCACGTTCTCCGCTCACTAAATCAATGATATCGACCAACGAAAACGACGACGAATGGGCGGCTTTAGTGCGCTCATATCGATAAACCAGTAATAAATCCTGATTGTCCGGAGGAAAAAAGATAGCCAAGGGAGGTGAATTTGACTGACTGGGATCAAGCAACTCTCCGGGCATCTGAAAAGCAATCGTGGAAGGATTGGTTTGGAGGCGTATCATTGTGAACTAACGTCAATGGATGGATAAACAAGGGGATGAAGACTTACATCGAAAACGGTCTCTTCCAGATGAGCAACCAGCCTCCCACTGAAGCGATCAGAACTAGGTCTGCCACTTACGCTCCAAGCCGGATCAGTTACCTGTTCCCAGGAATGTATATCGAATGATGTGTGACACTGTCCACTAAGTCGGTGAACTAGGAGATCCTCAGGAGATTGGTCACTGTCCACACTTTCTGGACTCGCAGCCAATGCTATGTCCTCGTTGTCTGAAGATGATCGAGAACTAGGAGGAAATGCTTCATCAGCGGAGTCCGGTTCGACTGGTGACTGCAGCGCGTGTAAGTCGGTTCGGTCTGCGAGGGCTTGTTGACGAGGTAGTGTGATACGGGAAACTAGCGTCTGGAAAAATGGGGATGGAAAACTTGAATCGATGGTTGGAATGCTTGTCTTCTGAATGGACATATAGATACGTCAAGGAATGACTAGACAACTGAATGAAATCACAATCGACATGAGTGGACGAAGAAAGTAGTGCAACTGAAACTGTGCACTTATGAGACAGACAAGAGTAGATCCCACAGAGGAAACACTGGCGTCAGTTCCTAAGAAAAGAAAATAGCTTAGTAGAAGAAAGTCTGGCGTAACATACTACATATAAGGTTGCATCCATTGTAGGTATGGATATTCTCTCCAACTTCGACAGAGATTCCGGGCTGAACAAGATTGGGAGTCACGAAAAATTTAAGAGACGGGGGAGACGGGTCCAGGTGAAAAATCAATTCGTTTGATTAACCTGAATCATACCACAGAGAAGTGTGTAATCTTCAAACGCCACAATGTTATCAAAATTTGTTTGAGGGCTCAAGTGTTTTTACGGTGAAAAAACCGCCTGGGAGAACTGACACAAACGATGATGAATGTGTTGGGGAACAAGGAGAAGGGAAAAGGGGAAAAAAGTTCAAGACATACCAAGAACAAAATAAACACGCTTCAACTTGTTCCCGGTCGTTCATCATACAAGGCTGTGGAGTGGTGAGATAGCCCGCGACGCGTAAGGGTGATGGATAGCTGGATACGAAAAATCGCTTAGAAAAATAAACTTTGCAGCGGTGAGTTTGTTGCTTCGGTGCAGCCTACGTAGTGGCTGGTTATAAACCATTCTTACCGAAAATGTCCTGCCGTTTTAAACCTTTGTGTATAAATTATTCGAAACCACAAAAAGTAAACCGAACAACGGTCTCCTGACACGGTGTACTGAATTGAAGCTGCCGGAAGTTTGTTGAACATTGAATGGACATGTTATTCGCATAGATAGCTACCCTAGACAGACCCACGAGAACTGCATCGAAATAACTGTCTGTTGAAGCATGGATGGTAGTAGAAACCCGACTGTCTGGATTACTTTAAACCACCATAAGTCTACTCAGCTAACTGATAGAAATTAATTCTTATTGAATATACAAGCGAGCTGCCGAACAACTGATGGTCCAGGTATTTGGGAGCGAAAAATACGAGAGGGTATCAGAATGAGCGGGATACGAAGCACACGCAACGGGAGGTCCTGAAATGTCACTAACATTGAGTGAAAGGTCAAGAGTTTTGATAACTATAATTACTTAATTCTGGTGTAAATAACCGGTCACAGCCAGCTAGACTGAGTGAGAATTTTATGTTTGAGACACCATAACGGTGACTCTACCATGTTCGAATAGGCCGTTTGGTGCCCAACTAACCACCCAGTTCCAATTTTGGTCACTGAAGTAATCATACACAAGCCGGACCCTGATTACTGGTACTCAGTGCTCCCAACCTCAAAACTCGTCCTAACCACGAAATAAGCACTTCCAGGACTGTTTTACGATCAGTTTGACTTAAACCATATGATGATCAGTCAGTCCACATATGATGTTTTCCTATCTGTGCTTCTTACTTTGACGGGCAACTTATGCGAGATGGGATAGCTGCGATGAAAGAACGTATTCATCATGATCTTTTTTTAGAGATTCGATGACTCGCTTCCATTGCAATTAATTTGAACGATCCTATTTCGTCCTTACATCGCTCTGACCGGTGCACACCAGAAGGACAGCAATAAAATAAGTTTCGCTGTGATTAGGGCTCGTCAGTGCATCAAATCCTCTACCATGCCCGACCACCCAAAACACAAAACAAGCACATTAACCGCTATTCCAATAGCGTAAAACCGAATGGACTTGGTTTATCCCATTTTAAAGTGGTGAACGTGCTCGTACTTAAGTTGCACGTAGGCTACCTATCGTGCACCTGGGACAACGAAGCAGAAACAAGCCACTTATGCCGCTAGATGACTCGTCCATCCTGGCCAGGTATTATAATGAGACTTTATCACTATAACAACCAACTTGGTAAACAAACGTAGTTTGAATACAAGTATCTGAATAAAATAAATGCTACTACAGGGAGCATCAAGACGTATTCCACGAGTGGTGTCGAATTACTAACACTTTTCAGCGTGTTATCTTGCGAACATGACGTGATGCACGCACCATCGGTCGTATCAAACACTCTTAAATAACGCATCCAGAGTGTGTACTCCGAACGTTACTTGAACTAAATCACAGAAAATCTCCCGGTGCCGATCAGATAACACCATTTATCCTCAAGCAGTGTGCTCATTCCCTATGCACACCTCTCGCTGAGTTATTCAATTTGTCCCTAAATAACGGTGTGGTTCCCACCGACTGGAAGAGGGGCGTTATCACTCCCATATACAAAGGAGGTAATCGATCGGTCGTGTCAAACTACCGGCCGGTGACTCTGTTGCCGGTGATCTCCAAAGTGCTTGAGCGACTGGTGGCAAACAAAATCATTAAACACTTAGAGGAAAACGGATTGCTTTCGGCTGCCCAGCATGGTTGCAGAAAAAACAGATCCTGTCTGTCCAATCTCCTCATTACCTTAGACGACTGGACGCAAACTGTGGACAATGGAAATCCCGTTCACGCATGCTATCTAGACATCTCCAAGGCATTTGATCGCGTGAACCATAACATATTGTTACAAAAACTCGAGCATTATGGTATTACGGGAAAGCTGCTGGCTTGGCTTGAAATCTATTTGGCTGACCGAGACGCGCGTGTATGTGTTGACGGCGCTCTGTCCAAGCCAATTGCAGCTACAAGTGGAGTACCCCAAGGCTCTGTTCTTGGGCCTACTTTATTTTTATTATACGTAAACGATATACCTGAGCTCGTGAGCAGTAAAATCACTTTATTCGCAGACGATATCAAGATATGGTCAAGCATACGCACCATTGAAGACTGTCACCGATTACAAAAAGATCTCGATACACTTTATGATTGGTCACTGAAAAACAGACTACCGTTTAACCTCCAAAAATGTAAAATGCTCCGTGTAGGGAAGCCCTTTGCATATAACTATACGTTGGGTCCACAACCACTTTCTTGGACTAGTGAAGAAAAAGATCTTGGCGTGTGGGTCAGCAGCTGTTTAAAAAACTCCTTGCAATGCACAGCCGTCTACAAGAGGACCTCACAAGTCCTGTCGCTCCTAAAACGGATTTTTGGTCGTTTCACTCGACTGGCACTGCCCCGAGTAATCAATACCTACATCCGACCAAACATGGAATACGCTATACAAGCTTGGTCACCATGGCTTCAAAAAGACATAATTCTTCTACAGCGAATATATCATCGAGCCACGAAGCTGGTAATTGGATTGCAAAATAAACCATACGAAGACAGGATTGCCAGTCTCAACCTATTTGACTTCTACTATCGGCGCATCAGGGGAGACCTAATTCTAACATATAATATACTGAAGACACCTAATCATTCGCTGGAAGACCTTTTTGTCCGACGTCGAACACGAACGGGCAGGAGGCATGACTTTTCGCTCGCGGTACCTCACTCGAGAGTGAACTGTCGACGGAACTTTTTTGCGGTCCGTGTATGTTTCATTTGGAACTCCCTACCTCCCAATGTTGTACATTCGCCGAGTTTAACCATTTTCAAGAACAATTTAGATGCACATCTTATGTCCAAACCGAATCTGGAACTATTTAACTCCATGTGTTACTCAGTAAACATTACGCATATTTTTGCGTCCCTTTGTGTATATACGTTCACCCTATGGTCGTTGTAAAGTTAATTGCTTTTTAGACCATTAAACCTTGAATTAACCTTGAATCCATGTATGCAAAAGACCACAGTGTGGATTTAGTTAGGTTATTATTTTGCCTTCATATGCCCGGGACCCAACAAACCCATTTTACATCAATAACCTGACTCCTGATCCCGTGACCACGTCGTTCAATTATCATATGGTTGGGCTACAAATTGCGATTGTGTCTGCCTCATTCCGACTGCACTGTTATCAGTATGGGTCTTCAGCACTGTAGCTACTGCACACACAACAACAGGGTAACAAGTAAAAGGGATCGGTCCATTCTGTTTATAACATGCGATTTTGACAACGCAGACAGCTTGCAAAAAGGCGGTACTGGTGGATCAGGACGGTAGTCTCGTAAGTGTATATATGTATGATATTCAATGGGTTTACTGTTCTTTACTGTCTCAGATAAACCGCTGCCAGTTCCCCGTTACTGTGGACAAACACTCTGTGACTCATGAAATGTAGATTTCGTATTCAAAATCGAATTAATTGTCTCATTGTTCTCTGTGGGTTTCGCCCAACGTGCTTCAAGCACATACATGTTTCTCTACCTATGGTGAAGTGAAGTAGGCAGAAGAAGTAGCATGCAGCAGCCCAAGTAAGGGCGTAGCAGAAAAATCTCTTCGATTCCTCTGCATTTAGCGTTTTATCCTCAAATCGATCTCCGACAAAAAGTCACCAGTTAGTACGTTGTTCGGTTTGTGGGTCCCGTGAATCAGGTCATATTACCGTAACTCTTTTACTCCATTGTATACTTGTTGGTTCGAACGACAAACCAAGCTTACCGCTTGTCTTGGAAATAGATGCTGCCTGAGTATATAGTCAAGTATGTCCCTCGCTGCACCCCATTGCGACCAGTTGGTGTGGCTGGTTTCGTGCATTGCAGTTGCCAGATTACTTTTGGCTACTCATGAGTAGCTACGGTTAGAGAGAGTAAACTCACTCGGCTGCGGTGTGCAGGTTGGTGGTATGGGGAACTTTTTGCTTTACCTACCTATTCTCAGTAAAAACTGTCACTTTTACAATAGATAAGAAGGAATTAAGCCGGCTGTATTCGGAAATCAGGAGAGAATGAGTAGCCTGGGCGGGTCGCATTTGAACAAAGAATTCATCAGGACGAAGGCATACGTGAGAAAAGGAAAAATGGACTACATACCCAGTGAATATATGAAGCACGGATGTCCTGCAGCATGGCCAAATAAAGGGGAGGAAAACAGCAACCGAAAGAGGGACGGTCCGCGAAAAACGCAGGGTACTGCAATTTCATGCGGTTTCCATTTGGCGATCGATTCGGGCAATTGGATACATGCGCATTGGATTCCAGTGGATGCTGCTGTACACAATCATTCAGTTTAGAAAATAAAATAAGATGCTGAGGAAACTCGTTTCATCGCAGAAATGTCCATAATCATTCAACGCCTATGCAACTCTAAACTACAGAAGTAAAAATGGGTCATCGTGCACGAGCGGTCATTCCCAAAATAAAATCCACTTTGTGGCTAATAGTATAGCTGTATTTGATACACTCAGACAAGCGTCAGTTCAAAACGTAGTGGTTCGTACGGTTTGAGAGAGCCCACCAACAAATCGCAACGTGAAAAGTTCTGTATTCTTGCATTTTTGCGCCAAAGAAAGGTATAAGAGAAGTTGGGAATGAGTTCATATTGTCCCAGTGTAAGTTACACGATCCGACGGACGATAATGAAGTTGTGATAACCGATCAAAAGTGCATGAGCACGTCTTAAAACAGTACAAGTCAGCCGAAATGGCCAAAAGTTGAAAAGATAATTGATAAGCATAAGCGTTGGCGATTATCCTTCAGGTAATTTCTGAAGCATTCGAACGTGTCCGTTGTAAAACAACACGGTCTTGGTGTTCATAGGTTTGATCTGTTCCTGCCTAGCTTTACCAGGTCATTCACGAGGGCGAATAGTCATGCGATTCTGGCATATGTAGCTTGACTACATAAACATGACAGTAATCATGCGAGAGGTAAACCTACTGGATGACAGATCTGTCATATTCAAGGGTTTTAAAAATACGTGTGTGATGGATTGAGTTGCACAGCTGACGTCTGCTTCAGTACCGCGAGGAGCCTGATCTATTGAAGTGGCGTGCTGCTCTCGAAGGATCGTCACCAAACAGTGAGTTATGCTGTCTGTTCACTACCCTGCCTCTTCTTAGCACAAAAAAACTAAAGGGGAGTTACTTTCTGGTTCCAAAAACGGTTGGTTCTATCTCCATCCCGAAGGGAAAGAGTACCATAACAATGCGCTTTACCGCCAACCGGACAGAAGTCAGACAAAAAGAGCCAATGTCCCAGGAACTGCTGTTGTATCATGCAGCGGTCTAAACGAGTTTATTTCAACTTGACTTGATGGGATATTTCGCGTGGCTGATGTGTGGACTAAGTTAAATGGTTCAAATAAGCACTGGAATTAATCAGGCCGAAAAATAGGATTAGGCAGCGTGCGGAAACACAATGCATGTGGAAAACCGACAACTACTTTGTAATATTACTGTGCAATTGCCTCCCTTTGTTCTTGCTATTGGAGTATGCAAAGCGACTGAATATCCGAAGCGTCAATTTTGGCATAAGCCCGTGGAAACATCCATATACAGCTGAATTTTCATTACCCAAGTACAAAGTCAATTGGATTCGGGTATTCAGTGCCTCCTCGAAGATGTTTGCTCGTGGAGGGAGTACTGCACCGGGGACTGTTTTGGTGGCTTAAATACCCTATCCGGATGGCGTCCAGTGAGTCACACCAAACACATCCACAAATACAGTTCACGCAACATTAGGTTAGTAGCATTAAAACGGGGTTTGGAAGAAAAAATGGTTAGTGTCAATTGTTTTTTGACTAGACAAAATCCTGGAATAAAAATGCGGTGAGGCCCCGAAGGCTGATTACCCTACTCACCTACGGGGTCTTATTTAACACACTGGCAGCGGAAATCTTCATTATCTTGGCACATGCTTAATTCAACTCGTTTCAAAGACACTTAACCTATATAAGACAGCGATTAAATGTTTCCTTGTTGCTATCGTACACCGATGATTAAATATCTGAGTGACAAAGTCCGTAAAACATGAGAATGAACTTTTCTCCAACAAAACTCGAAGCAAAGAAAACATAAAGACCTCAGAAACGGATCCCATCAATCGCACCGATTACCGTTTACTTGTTGTAAATTTTCACCCGTGAGCAAACATGGACTATTGAAGTAGCCGCTTCTTAAATAAATTGGCTTCATATCGGTCTGGATGATCATAGTTGGTTTCATTTTGAGATTCCGGCTAACAACAATTGCGGTCTTCCTGGACATCAGAGAAGCTTCTAACGCTATAGATGAAATACTACTTCTAGCTGCATTTTGACAAACAGTATTGTCTGCCCTTCAGTCGTTTAGAGTTCGCAACGAACTGTCCAAAAGTGGGGTTAGCCAAAGCTATCTTCTCTTTCTCTCCCCCTTCTTGTTCCACTCTGTAGTTGTTAACATTATGGAATGCAGACTTCAAGGTACTAAAAACGCAGGAATGGAATTGCATCTGGTAAAAAACTTGAGGGCCAGTATTTTATGGAGGACACCGTTTTTGTGTCGAAGACCACCGATTCGCACAACCTAACCTAACTAGAATTTCGGAAGTGGTTCATTACTTCCTCAGTGTAACTTCTTGAAATCCTTGATCGGTTTACATGTCTTGACAGCTCCATAACCAACGAGTTTACCGTGACAGATAAAGTCGAACAGCAAGTCAATTAGCAGAGCTCCAGTAAAATTTGCCAATTCTCCTCATTCATGGGGTCGAAAACGCAATGAAGCTAAAAGGCCGTGCATTCGAGATAAATGTAACAAAGGTCTTACTTTGTTGTTGTGAAACTTAGTATCTGCGATTGGGAGCCCTTAAGCGCCTCCGAGCCTTTGACCTTGGTGGACTCACAGCATAGCAAGAACCTACTGGTTGCAACGAATACGCAACAAACTGGTGCGTAAACGAGCACCAGATCAGCAAACCTGCAAACAGCTTATCAGATCAAGATGGTTGGGACATGTATTGCACATGCCCAAACACCAGCTACCAAAGGTGCTAGTTTTCATTTCGAGTTCATTCCGGTGGAAGATGTGATAAGGACAGGCAATAAACATGGCCGCGCGATTTGAAAGCGGCTGCGATTAGGATGGGTGCTGTGGGATCTTCGTACCTTAGGAACTCTACAGCACATCGTATACGACTGACCTCATGGTGTTCATGCTGTCAATTTCCAATCAGACTGATCATCTGTGGTGTGTCTGTCGTTGTGTGCCGAGTCCTTACAAAGTGAAGTTCGCAAAGGACACCAAGTCAACATCAATGGTGGCGTTTACTCCGATATGATATCCAGATATGTTTATTTCGTTGCCATTCCAGGATGTAGGCACCTTGACGGCGTTCGTAAGAAAAGGGTTTCCTACCACGTATCCCCTTCGTTTTTCAACTCTTTGATGTAGCACTCCTTCACAATGACTGGACGGTAGTTAAGCACCAGCAACTACTACTGGTGCTGTCGAGGATGGAAACAATATGTGTGGGGTAAGATACGTCCGATTCCAGATTCAGAAGTCTGGAACTGGCTGAATCATTTTCTGCATCACAATAGGCGCCTCGATCTTATGTACGCTCCACGGGCATTACTCGAGCTAATCATGACGTCATCCTTGATATTGGCGTCTGCAAAATTGGTTAATTCGAGATCTTCAAAGTCGCACATACAGCGCAGTGCCACCTTGTTGATCATGCGTAACCGTCCAAAACTGGATGCAGATGGAGAGGAACACGTTGGTTTTAAAACAGTGAAACCCAGTCTAGTGGCTGAAGAATACTGGAGAGTAGCACCGGGAATTTACAGAAGCCATGTTATCTGAAAATTTTGAGTCCATGGTCGACACATCCTGACAAAGTTTACCCAGCGTTATCCGCCAGCAGCACTTGATCCAACTAACTGCGAAACTGGTCGACAGAGAGGGGGTAGTCAGGTCGGACCTCAGAGGACAGACCAAAAGTTCCGGACCTTGTCGTACATAGAATGTCATGCGTTCGTAGTCAAGTAACAGGACGCCCCAAAGTGGTTGAGTTCGATTGCATTATATTTCACAACGCCTCGGATAAATGAGTAAAACGACGCCCAAAGTCGACGTAAATGAAGGCTGGGTGTTGGTATTCATAGCATAGCTGTGGAATAGGGCGCGGTGTGAGAATTGAACCGGTGAGCCCGTTGCCTAGTTCAATCTGGTACGTCACTGTCACTCGCTGGTGAAGTAGTTCATAAGAAAAACAGTGAGAATTTAAGATTGGTTCAGGGAAATTTTCACGATCTGACTTGTGAAAAGCTATAAGAACGGAGGAACCTTAGTCGATGGGTATAACTCACTATTCTATACCACACAAAAACAAACCAGGAAGCTGTGAAGTGAGGGCAGGGGGCTGGCCCAACCCAAGGGTGCAGGAAGTAAGGCATTACTGTCTCACTCCTGGCGCGGTTGCGTGCAGCAGGTGCCTTTTTAGCAGTACTAGACACTGGTTTTAAAAGTATTTTGACCGTATTGGATAATGCACCAACTGTCACGGTCAACCGTTGGGTGGAGTGTGCAGTTTTTAAGACCGGCCTTTTCTAATCGGTAATTCCTCAGGGAAGGCGGCATCGCTACTTCCATGAATATGGACATGCTAGTCACCTGGGGGAAACATCTTGCTGCCTTCACACTCCTATCGTAGAGGACAGTACAATCTCCCCCTATACCGCATCGCTACTTCCATGAATATGGACATGCTAGTCACCTGGGGGAAACATCTTGCTGCCTTCACACTCCTATCGTAGAGGACAGTACAATCTCACCCCTATACCGCTTCGTAGCACGACTAATCTCGCTGCTCCTCTTAGGCCTTCCTGGCATGTTTGCACCTTGTAGAACGAAGTAGCCAGCGGGATTACTGCAGCACTCAAGCCCAGCCAGCAGGTCCAGGTGGCAGATTTAGATTAGCTCAGTAGCCATTTCCTGTCAAGCTGTTGCTCGTCCTTGGAGTGTTGAATGGCTTAGTCCGATAATTCTGCTTTCTTGGTTTGCTTAGATGGTGTTACAACATCAGCCACCAATATTCTCTTTAACAGCAAATGTATACCTTAGTAATACTTGTACAGTGACTTGTAAATCCATAAATAGTTACACAAACACCTACCCCAGAAGGACGATGGTTGTCGGGCCAAGAATGTGGATCTTGGACGGAATGGATAAGGGAAGGATGCTGATGGAACAAACAGTTGTACGGCTTGATCACTTTGTGATCTGTGCTTGTCACCGGGGTGCACGGGTGGAATTCGGAAGCAGGCCAAGAATAGCAAATAGAACAATAATTATGTGTTAGTAGGGAGGAGTTGAAAGCAAACGGCACGAGTCCGGAAGCATCAGAAGTACCCTGAAACGGGAAGGGAGGCAGGGTAAAAACGCTCGGAAGGTGAAAAGTTCAACGCCTAATAATGGTACCGAGACCTCCGTTTGACGGAGGTTGCGCACACAGCGAATCGGCTATACAGAGTTTTCATTCAGCAGTCCATAGTGATATACAACCATGGAGAGCTTCCATGAGAACCTGAAACTATCAAAAGCAACCCGCAAGGGTGGTCTCTGTGACGAATGATCTATTTCAAACAAATTAATTACCAAATACCGGAAAATTTGAACCACCAACTAAAGAAAACAGGACATCAGATGATGAAAACAATGTGAGCAAGATAAGTATACCTGTGGTTGGAAAGCTTATGGTGTTTCTATTAACAGCGGTTGATGGCAAGTGTGCAATACTGTGAATAGGACTATTCGGCAGATAGGAATAAAGTAACAGCCTATCTAGTGTGAACACTTAACTGAGAACGGAGGGAGATGTCTTTCGATATGAGTACCAAACCGCACACACTGCAATCAAGTGGAAGTGTTCTTTACACAGTATTACTGGGAATGAAGGTGAGATTTGACGGAAGATAAGACAACCAAAATAATTGGCAGTCGAAGACCGCCTAGTTTATCTCAGCGGAATTCCTGTGAGCATAGTTTACTAGTATATAGGATGAGAATCTTTCTTGTTCACAACACGATTATAGCGGAAAAATAAGGAAACACGTTTAGTACAAGTCCCTGAAGTCTGAAAGCATAGTAAATCTCAAAGAAGTATAGTAACCAGAGATATACAAGTGCCAGTAAGGATGTTTACTAATGCCAAGAAAATTCATTAAGTTTATTCGTTTATTAACAAATGTAAGCTCCCTCAATGACCTGCTGGAAACCACACCCTAAAACATGCGGCAGTTTTTGGATGCAACAATCCTGTGGTAAACTCTAGACAAAAACAACTCACTTGGGGGAAAATATACAAAGGCTGGTCAGAAGTCTGGGGCAACAGAGGTTGCTCAAAAGAACAGGAAATAACTTTAATCTGACCGTCCGGACTTGGCCACGCCATTCTTATACAACCGGTGCGCGAGCAAACAGAAACGTGGATAAGGCCAATCGGCGCGTTAGTCGAAGCGAAACATCCACAGTCTTCAACAATGACCTCATCAACTTTGCCACTGGTGACTGATTGAACTGGGTCTGGTCGAAGACACGGTGGGACCGCGGTATTACCTGCGGACCGACGATTTGGAAACGAAATCTCCAAACCATATCGAGCGCTTTCTTCATCGAAGACGGATTTGTTTACTGTTGGAAGATCCAAATTCAGGGACAAAAGTTGCAAGTGTGTGGAACATGTATGTGAACCATATGAAAGACCGGATCGTTGTTGTAGCTCTGCGCAGATATATATACAGTCTGTGCATTCCACATCTGGCATGGAGCCAAATGCAGCCAGTAAGCCGTTCCCATCATACTGAAAACCAAGAAAAACAAGAGAGCCATTTAAGCGAGGAACTATTAAGGATCGACCGCGTTTTGAGTATATAAGTGATCTCTGGTTAAGAGTTCAGTGAGGCTGATGTCCAAAACTTGATGGAGGAAATGAGCGGTATTAAAAACACTGAACAGTTTACTTCTATTCACGCCACACATTTACACTATGAAACCTGTTCTTGTGGTGTATGTTCAGATGAAGAAGCGGGCTTTCTAAGTTGTCCCGCGAAGTATAAATCTTTGCATAGTCCTCGAATTGGGGTCCAACTTCAGTCGGATCGCAAGAGGTCCCAACAACACATCAATTAGTCCCCAAAGTGGTCCCCAATCAAAGTAACAATACTGGACAATTTTCTAACGGGCGGAGAAGTGAACAGGTGGCGAATGGCTAACTGCGGGAGTAATGCGGAACAAAGAAAAGAACCTTAGCAATCGAAAATTAGACCATTTGTTTGTACTGGTAGTTTTAATAAAAGACATAGTATACAAACTGTGTTTGCGTATCATTCTGAGAGCGTCAATGACGCTCCCCCCTCGCCCTGGGTCGTGCACATTCGGCCAACCTATCCAATGATTAAAACGTTTTAACTACTTTCCACTTTCAGTAGTATAGTGATTTCGGAGAGGGCGTCTGAACAGGGCTGATAGAACTTACGTCGCAAGAAATGATGAGGAAAGACGAGGGTTGGAGTACGGATTGGATGAAACGCACTGAAGGTGTGTGATTGAACCTAGAAGTATAAGTGAGTCTTGGAAGAGCAGCTTCTGAAAATAGTTTGAGCGAGAAACGGTCCGGGTGTGCCAACAGGGCCGGAGGAAATAGCCAGAATCGGAGGAAGAATCTCTTGAAATCATATTTGTAGGACACCAAAAATCGTCCACACACAGAAAAACCCAAAAATATATCCTCTAAGGCACATCGAGGTAGTATATCATGCAGCTGATACTGCCGAAGTCCTGTATCCGTACACGGAATGGGGCACCTTCGTCTACTGAACTCTCTGGCGTTTATAAGTCCGAGAATGTTCTTCATCTGAAACAAAAACAGAAAACCTGAGACCTTCCGAAACAGGTGAAAGACATGCGTTCTTTAGAAAAAATATTTGTCATTTCCATCCGTTTGGTGTCCAACAACACCTGACTCCAGAATCACTTGAAAAGGATTAGCTCGCGAGGAAATTGCACTAACCAGACTAGCAAACTGGACATAAAGCAAACCAGCGCAACAGATAACTGGAGACCTCAATGAGCGAAATGAATCCATCCACCCAAAAAAGTGTGAGGTGTATCAGTTGGGAGAACTTTCGGACTATTAGTTAAAAAGGGCGGAGCACACTCATTTGCGAATAAACTTAGTGTTAACGAGGGACTCAACTAGATCTCTTGTTCTTCATGCTGTTCTTCAATAGAATGTGCAGCACAAGTCGCCCCATGTTTTAGTTGGTACGACACTCGAGATATCACAGTAAATTGCAAATGGGTGTATTTAGCCAAATGCGTACAATTTGGTGTTCAAGTAGAACATAAGGTTGGCAAAAACTCGGGAACTGCACCTACCTGATGAGCCTCAGGTGGGGCGAAACCTGTCGTGGGTTGTCGAAGAACTCTCTGCAAACTTATGGGCATTTTGTTCCATTATTTAAGTCAGACATAGCTTACTAGTCAACCTTAAACTGAACAAGTATCGTTTCTATGACATGACAGAACGCTCATCATTGTCGGGGATGGGATACAAACCCACGCGGAGAAACCTGACAAACAGAGTAAAAGATCGCTTTCAGGTAAAAATAAATTATCAAGGTTGGCTGCTGGAAGCGGCGCAAATATGTTTCCCTTCAATGAGTTCCGAAACAAGAAGAAATGGTAGACGTTCTCTTTTATGATGTCACTGGAATCAAGTTGAGTGCCCCAGTAGCAACGCGTCTTGCATTGACGCTATCCACCGGTAGTTGATAGACCCAAGATCCACCGGGGCCAGCGGCTAATTTACATTTGGTAGCTACCAGTTTACACACTGCGAGGGCATGCTGAAAGCTCGTGCTTCAAAACAGTTGGTGATAAACGCGCAGCTGGAGGAGTCGTTCCTCGTTATCTGTACGAGCCTCGACTTCAGATGGACCCGGAAGAGGTGCTTCCATAGGGTTCGACTGACTGACTTGGATATTTATGTCATCCATACGAGCGAAGATGTCGGATTCTAATTGATGAGTTAGTTTCGACAAGCTTCCATGGGAATTTTCCTTTTCAGCATCAGACTGCAACCCATTGAGGCATAAATTAACACCATAAAAAAGGCACCGGTTGTTTGCCAAGTGGAACAGAGGTTGGGGGAACCGGACAATCGAACGGTGAAAACTGTCTACCGGAATCTAATGCTGCAAAGCATGTTCAGTCATATGCATCACGAACCACTTCTTCAGGATCACCGGGCACTAGGAGTAAAATTTGAAAAAAAACTGGGTACAATTTGGGTGCTTTACGGACCATGACAAAACTCGAGTCCTGCATGCGAGTTTCGAAGACACAACATACGTCGATTTCGAAAGAGTACAACGTCAAAGCGAGGATTACCTGTTGGTCAATCGAACCCAGATACGATTGCTGAGAGCTACTGTTCGGAGAGAATTTCGTGAATTTAGTAGTGTTACTTTGGTTGTTTCCAAAGAGCAGCAAATTGAATAAGGCACATCAGTCAGACGGTTGATATTCAAACGATCAAGCGCGGTTTGCTTGTAGGATGTAGATGAATTGGGGAAAGGACGCCGGTGAAGGGACCGTGAGGGCGAATGATGATTTCCAATTGCTCATTCCGGGGGAAATTGCTTGGGGTACTATATCTTGGGCCTTTGACTCGAGAAACTGGTTCACAAGGCAGTTGTGAGGTGTAGGATTTTGTTCGAAGACTCCTCCCATAGCCCGAAAGTCGAACTGCGAAGTAGTAGATAGTTTTCTCGAAAGACCCTGCCTGCTCAGGAACAAAATCTCAGCATTGTCATGCTACTGCGCAGGACAGATCTGTCTAGAGCCACGTGGGTCGTTGGCGAGATTTGCTAGTTTACTAACCATACTTAGTAGTTAGCAGGTAGTCACGGTTAGCCATCGGACAATCTCATTGCGTGGCTTTTTGGGCCTACCTTTTCTAACCCATCTGTCGTAGAGGAAGTCACCATCGCTTTCACCATATACATAGAAGCACTAATAACTTGAAGGGAACACCTTAGATTCCACACTCCCATCACAGTGCATAGTACGGCTTTACCTCCATTCTGTTTCGTAATACGAATTGTCGCGGAATGAAAGCTGTTCAACTCTGGCCTGTCGCATGGCTGGACCTCAAGGAACAAAGTCCTAGCTAGTGTGGTCCAGAAGACTGTGAAGGTGGCAGCTTCTGATTGGGAATTAAGCAAAAACCCTTGAATCGAAGATAAAATTCGTCCTTATGATTATATTGCAGTTAACTGGTTCAGAACCAACAGCGGAACTCCAGTGAACTAGGGATCAAGCTTCCAGAAATGCTATGCCGGATCGGTTGGATATGGCCCAGTGGAAACCAAACGACTATGTAACTGATCCGCTACGAATGCTTCTCATCCACAATACAGATAGAAAAAAGGAGATTCTAGCATGTTAACCGCGTAGGCTAGAAGAAAGCGAAATGGCGCAACACAGTGTGTACTTCACTAGACATGTATAGACAGCGTGTTGCCGTCGAACCTGCAAGTCAACAGTGGAACAGTCCACAGAACACCGAAGTTCCCGAGGTAATAAATGAAACAGTTCTCCCAGATGAATTTTCAACATCAGGCCACACCAACTGTCATGGAAGTAGTCTTAACATGTTTGACAGGACTGAGAACAGCCGTATGTACTCAGGGGAGGAGGCTTGGCCCTATTAATAGAACTGATTATTCTCCTTACAGGAATGAATCGGTAGGCTCAAAGATGCGATACTCCTTTACGAAGCCTAGCTCCACACTGGACGGACCAACACGGAATATAGTAACTTCACTTCTTGAATATTAGACAAGATGTGTAATATAAAAACAAAAACCTGCAACGACTATGTATTGTGTAAATAATATAAGAAATACTCTAAACAGTGATAATGTGCATGGAAGTCGCGGTGTGCACAAAAGTACTCGAAAATAGATGTGTTATTGCGTGTCGGTCAACCTTCCAGCGGCAGCTAGAAGTCTGAACATCGCCCTTTGCGTTCCCAATCGCCGTACCGCGTTGGTTCAGGACCAGTTGGTCCATCTACCTCCCCGGTCAGCGGGTTTGTGTTGTCCGGAAATGGTACAAAAGCGCCATCCAAAGAAAGCTCGGGTTCGAGTACTTCCCTTTTAATCTCAACCTTTTGGTCAAGTTTGCCTAGAGAAAGTCGGGGCTTGCAGTGAGTAATAGGACCTTACCGACGGGTATAGTTGCTTTCTTGGAAAAACTCTGAAAGTTTACACCAAAAGTAGTTGAGATTTTGAGTCTACGGAAAGTCAGGCGCAGCATCGGGTCCAGCCTCCTGGAATAGTTAGCAATAATTCAAGTATGAAAGTGGCTTGATCACGAGAGTCCAGTAAGTCAGTCAATCAAGTGGTGTGTAACGAAAATGTACAAAAAGATGAGCGCAATGCGATAGAGCGAAGATCACGATTCGTGGAAGATAGTGAAAGTGAGTAGGTTGCGAAATGTAAAAAGTACAGATAAAGAGATTCCTACCGAAGAAACGAATCCCCCACAGACCTGATGTTGTCGTTTATGGTTACGACTACCTGATAACATCCCACGGGGCAACGGTAAACGGGTCATAGAAGTCACTATGAAAGGAGCATCTATTAGGAAGAATTTTTCGTTCAGTTATGTGAACGCTGAAAGAAACCCAGATGGTGTTAGCCCGGTGTTCCAAGGAATTATACAGCCCCCTACTTTTTAGAAGTGATTCCGTTTTCCTCGCACTGTAGTTGGTGGTTTTTGACAAATGGATGCAAAATCACGACCTAATTCTTCTACATGACGTTGAGAAAAATGTTAGTTCACAAAGCAATCGTGTGACCACTCACACCGAGGTCTTATTTTTCAAAATGTACTGTTTTGTCTACCTCAATAGGGAATCACAGTCCGCAATAAACATTCGGTGCTATATAATTGCCTCATGGCCACATCCTTTTGGTTTACAATGGAACCAAAACAGTAATAGTGTATCAAAGAGATCGGGATTTTCCTGTCAGTCAGTCAGTCAGTCAGTTATTCAGCTATGAGTCGTGCACCAATGTACTGTAGTTCCAGTCGATTTGGTTCCGTTCACTGAGGATAAGGAGAATAAGGGAACGATAGTTACAGGCTGAACGCGATGACACAATCGAGATAGCTCGATGGTAAAGGCGCGAAATTGCCGACTGGAAGGTCCGTGATTCGAACGATCTATGATTGTTAATCAATGTATTGTTGTTGTTGTCGTCAGTTTTACTGATGTTGTGCTGTCAGTGACGATAATGATGAAACAGATCTGAGGCACCTCTGCTTCGGAAGAGCGGACACTTTCAGAATTTGAGGCAGGGTGTACAGAGTGCGTTTTGCCTGAGCACGATAGCCGGAAAGCTGCCAACCTCTCAAAGAGATGCGGCCGAGTCAGCTGACAATATAGAAGGCGCAGGATGATAGCCTACGTTCAACTATCTACCTGGTTTATTTGGTAGGCGGTTGATCGTCCTCTGGAAAGAAGCGGGATCCCTAGGTGTCAGATACAGATTCGAAAACCTCTCAGAACATTCCTCGGATTACGCGGTATTCTCCTCATCAATGGGGACTGTCCCGGTCGATCACCAAGGTCATGAATATAGTGGGTATTGGTCGTTGGTCTGTTCGGTGAGCTGAGCCATTTAGTTGCAAACGTTTCACCACCAATCGAGGTGATTTTTTTTCACTGCGTTGTTAGGGAGCGTGGCGGTGTGTCTGTGGTTATGCGTTGGGTAGTGTTGCGTGTGTGTCAGTATGGTTCTGTTAGTCGGGACTGACCTTCGATCATGATTAGTTGTTCGGTCGGGCGGTTTCATTGGTTGCTCTATAATCCTGTAATCCTGATTGATCGACGACCACATGACCTTCGA